ATGGCGCGATATTCTTGAAAGCAAGCTTGCCTTGCTCAAGAAGAAAGCGGGGTTGGGGAGCGGCGGCTTTGAAAAGCGCGGAATTGGTACTACTAGTAACGAAGAACTAGTATAATTCCACGGTAGGCATGATAACAATAATCGTATGCGATAACTGCGATAATAATAGGAACACTACTACCAGTAGTATCGTAATAATAGTACTAATGGTGATGTAATCGCTTGAACATCTTAGTCGTACTGATGAAACTAGTAAACATACCAAAAGCATACGACAGAATTACCAGGAAGAGGGAAACCACAGGACATGGACATCAAGCAGCAGGACCGGACCAGCGGACCAGGAGGACCAGAGGACCAAGGGACCGGAGGACCAGGAGACCATAGGCCGAACCAGAGCCAAGTTTGGCCAAAAGGGACCCCTCCAATTCTCCTCACGCTCGCCGACGAAGGCGCTCCGCACAACGAAGCGCCCCTGCAAATATGTATAATCCGTAGGGTGCGTTGTGGGGCATGAGAATTACTGTAGAAGGAAAGGAAAGCTCATTTCTCCACAAATGAAAAGCAAGAGGGTCTTGCAGCTTTCAGCTTGCCCGCACCTTCACTTGCCCCGTCTGTCCGGGGAATCTTGGCCATCCAAGTCTAGAAAAATCCTCAGACATGGAACTTACTCGTCGGGGCATGCACTCTGCTTGGAGTACTCCCACATACAGCTGGCTGGAGATGTGGAAAGCTCTGTGTACAAACTGTTTTTGGGGAGCACTTTGGTTCCCACATGCATCATGTGTAATCTGCCCAAAGAGAGGCCTATGCATGCTGCAAAGGCAGGGGTTCCTTCCTGCTTGCAAGGCTTGCGATGCGTTCTCTGACCCCCCGCAGTTTAACTATCTATCTAGATATCTATCTGTCTCTATCTCTGTTCATTTTAGTAAGTAAGTACATACATATGCAGCATGCACCATTATGTGCATTAATGCGGGGTTTTGGTGAGCCGGGAAAAAAGGCTCCTGCCTATGGCAGCTCCGCTTCCCGAAAAAAAAGTCTGCCAGGCTGGTCGCGACCAGGGACAAAGCGACAGACCTCCAAACTGAAGCATTCTTCTTTGGATCATAACCATCCGCTTCTCACCAGCTCGTTGGCACCGCAACCAAAGCCAACAAAAGCGCCACAAGGGCAGTCACAGCCACGGAAACGAAGTGCGTGGCCTGCTTTGGACAGTGTCGGCTAATGACGATGCTGTTGACTGCTCGCTTGAACCCCTCATTACAACTTCGCCTGGGCTGCCAAAGCTTCCGCCTCTCGTATCAGCTCTGACACCTGGGCTCACAACTGGCATCGGAAGGCGGTCACCTCGACTTAAAACTGCGCTACAGCACTCCCCTTACGAATAGGGCCAGCACACTCTCTCCTGTTACAGGGTCTTTCTCAGGAAGCTCAGCGCGAGGATCCTTCGAGAGGGACTGCAGAACTTTATCAGCACACCTTCTTCGGGGCAACTCAAAACCCTGCCTTTTTGAGAAGAGCCTGGGCAGCCCGCCACCTTTAAGCACGTCTCTCAGAGCTGTGGTGAAGTGCAGTCTACACTGGCCAAGCCTTGCCGTCGAGGCTGCGCTCGCCTCGCTGACGGATGACCCCGATTTCCAAAGACGCACAAGAATTGCAACATGCACTTGCTCTTCCCAGGGTGCTTTCACTGATTCACACAGCTTCTCTGAAAAATTGAAACTTCCAAGCATTTGTTCATCAGTGTTGCAAGTTCATGGAACTGCGCTGCAAACACACATAAGGCTAAAACATCAATCTTCCCCCGACAAACATTGACATCAAGATGCTACAAGTTAGTACGTTCGAAAACGGCCGGCAGGTGACGGACGACGGGCAGTCGCTTGAATCAACTAAACTGAAGGTGACAGACTGGCAGGACACACTGCCCAAGCTTTCATGCCACATAACCGATCCACCTGCGGGTTCTTCCTGCAGCACGACTCAGGTGAGTCCTGCGACCGATTCAGCCGTTCGATTCTAGTTGAAGCCACCATCGAGTGTCCTGCGGCTTTGTGGAAAACCATCTCGCTGCATCTCTGTAGCCGCACCAGAAGACACCTGTAACACATCGGCTGGCCACACGGCACGTCGTGGAGTGACAACCACGAGCCGGACCTCGCAGTACTCGCGGTTCCGGAGGCAGCACTGCCCACCAGTAAGGCACACGATCAATCCTCCAGGGACGCTTTGACAGGTTGAGACTCAGGGAGAGGAACACTACAAGAACACTATGGTGCAAATATGTGCAAATAGCGTACAAAGCTGAGCCACTTCACATCGGCCAGAGGATGCGCACAGGCCGACACGCGCACGACGTGATCTCCTGGGCACTGAATGACACACAGAGCTGATATCTCCACACTCCAAGTGATCCCAGGCTCCTGGTGCTCCGCGCCATGGAACAAGGAGCCGGTCTGGCCAGACAAGGCCGTCGTAGTAGTAACGGCCTGTGCTTCTGCACTCCAGAAGCACTCAAATCTAGGCGCTGTGTCTCTGGAGTTGCTCCGCATCGCAGGCTGTGTTGAAATCCGAAGATCTCCAAGCAATGGACTTCTCCCGGCCGAGCTGCCGAAGATGCGCCTTGGAAATAGGCCCGCAAAGAGCGGCACATGACCTAAGGAGTCGATGTTCACTGGCCCGCCATCTTTTTACTCCCTCTCCCTCACTCGCTTTTGTCGGGCATGCACTGCTTGGCGCAGACGAGCAGCAGGACGCGCAGAGGGTCTGAATAACAGTTTCATTGTCTGGGAACTTGTCAATAACCTGCAGAATCGAAAAATGCGTTTCGGCTCGCATGGCATCCCGAAGATCTCGGGACTCTTGGAATGGAGACCATGCCTCCCCCTGCACAAAGGGCGGGTGCTGCATCACCCTTGTCAGCAGAACCTCAGCTTCCGGAAACGTGAGACCACGAGCTCTGCCCTGTTCGCGGACCTTCGTACATTCCTTGCCTTTCAAGCGGCCCGCATGCGGCCGATGAGGCGAAGATAGGCACCCTGGAAGCAAGGCAAGCATCAGTCTCGAATTCCCCTTTCACCCTTAGACTCCTTAGACGCCTTAGACCTCTTCCCAGTGCTCCTGTCTTCCCTTCAGCGAACCTCAAACTGGAACTTGCGCAGTGCGCGCTCGACAGCTGGGAACATCTCCTCGGCTGGGTTGGCCGCAACGGCACTGTCTGTGCCTCTGTGGACCTCTCGCCGCACCCCGTGAATGCTCCATCTGCGGACGTCGGAAGACTCGATGCCGAGACCCACTCAAGCTAAGACTATGAGCGGGCCTTCAGCACACGTCCCAACACAGAGAGAGAGAGAGAGAGAGAGAGAGAGAGAGAGAGAGCGAGCCAGAGAAATTTGGCGGGGAGGGAAGGAGGGAGGGAGGTGCTGACAAGCCTCTACAGGATTGCGCTTGCAAAGCGGCTGCCTGAGCTGGGCTGCATGCATGGCCACAAGCAAATTTCCCCCGGGTTTGTCGCTCTGCTTTTCTCGAGAGGTTTCTCGAAACGCTTCTCGAGCCGAGCTGCTGCTCGACGATGAAGTCGAACACATCACGGACATTGTTCCCACAGGCCAGTACACACCTGGAAGATAGAAGGTCCAAGATCAGAACAGTCCCCAACTCGCCAAAGCGGCCGCAGGCTTTTCCCGAGGTAGCCACGCGATCAGTGAACCACCAGAAGAGCCGCTGAAAGCTACCTCAAAGGTTTCAGGTACCGTTTTGGCTCCGTGCTACGGCATCTTCTTCCGCGATTCTGGTGCCTCTTCCGGCATGGAGTGGGGCTCATCCGGTTTTCGGAGGAGGCCCAGATTGTCGCTCAGCCAGAAGCCCACGCCAAAATGGTAGACCTAGCTCTGGAGCAGCCAGTTCAGACATGAGTAAGACTAAGCTCACGATGCACCAAGGTGACGAAGAGCCAGCCGCAGGAGTCGAACGAGAACGTCACTCGCCTCACTCACGGCTCCGAGCTTCTCACATGTGCCACTTCTCGCGGTGGGACACCCCTTTAAGCCTTTTGGTTTGCAGCCATGCCGGCCGTGGCGACTCGTCACTGCTTTGCCGGCTCAGGCGGGAGGCTGCCAGCGGCTCCGAGTGCCACTCCTTGGGCCAAAATGAGATGCCAAGAAGCCTGCATACGCTACGGCGACGGACCTACGGATTAACTTCTGAGATACCAAGGAGCGGTGTAAAGAATCAGCCCATTCCCAATTACAAACAGATGCAGGGCCGCCAGCTTTGCCGGGAAGTGCCCCCAAATGGCTGCGGCCAGCGAGTGGCCAGCACAAAGGATGTACCTTAGGAGCCCAGCGTGACAACCGGGAAGACGGAAGCATCGGAAGATTTCGATCTGGGGCATGTCAAGCGGCTGTGCAATCTGAAGCCTGAAGACCCAGGTGGCCCGCGAGACCTTTGCTGCAAGCCGCCGCCAAGCCGCAGATCGAGTTGGCGCACGTCAAGCTTCGAGGATGGAAACTTTTGCCGAGCAAAAAGCCGACTTCTTGTGGCCAGGGTTCCCTGGAGTCAGAACGCGAAGGGGAGCTGGATGTACAACCTGCAAACGGTAGGACAGCGGCCTTCCTAGTGCCTCGAAGAGCCCCATGCGATCTCCAGCGAACTAGTGCAGCTCCGAAGCTGAAGCTGGAATATAAGCCGTATACGACCTTCCAGCTTTCAGCCAAGAAACCGGCAAACTCAGAGGAAGGGCCACGTCTCGACTGACCGGAGCACAGGTGTCAGACGAAATGCAGCTTCGTGGCCGTCTGGCAGCCCGAGCTTACCAGTGCCGGGACGAAGGCTTCAGCCCCGCAGCCACAGTGGCAGGCGATGAACCAGCCCCACCTGTGTGTTCAGAGCTACTGAAGTTGTATGCCGATCAGCCACAAGCCTGAAATTGACGCTACGGATGCAGCAGAGAGCAGCTTTAGCAACATCCACAAGGACGGGGAACTGGGGCAGGTTGCAACAAGGGCATAAAGAAGTCGCCGAAGGCTTTGCAAGCAAAATCTCAGTCGTTTAATTAACCCAATGCGGTCAAGCTGCAAATTCAGAACCTTGATGGAACTTGAGCCCGTCTACTGTTAGTTTTGCGCTTGTCTTGCTCTGATCGCTCAGACGGAGTATCGGCTGTACTGCATTCACAACGTGTCGCGTGATTGGACGTAGGCTTCACCGTCAGCTGAGGCACGCGGAGGTAAACATGCAGAAACGAGACGCCCTGGAACTTCTTCTGAAGCACCTCACGAGTCGCAACGCAGCGAGGCGCAGCGTGAGGAGAGCAAGGAGCCGAAGAGTGCCCTTCGATGAGCCGAGGCACCATGAAGCCGGTTTCCACCAGTTGGAGCTGGCGGCCTCGGGTTACTGGGCGTCAAGAGGCGATAAAACGGATCTCCAAGAATCGAATGATTAGGGCTTAGGGCCCGGCAGTGGTATTGCAGCCACATCAGCCAGCCCAGTCGATGGCTCCTGGCCTCATGACAGAAAGAAACTCCGCGTACGTGAAACCTGGCCAGGCTAGGCCAGTGGCTGTGGTGTCTGGAACGTTGCCCCAGATCTGGAAGCCCTGCGCGTGACCCTCGAGGACGAGCATAACGAAGCCTGTGCGGTGCACGCAGGCTGAGCAAACAGCCGGCGACGGTGCTGCCACGTCTGCTGGTCTCACAACTTTGCTGCCGTACTTCTGTCACTGTGAGTCAGCACATCCATTAACTTCAGGCTTAAATCTGCAGAGCAGCAGTAAAGGTTGTAGCAGCACTGTGTAGCGTTGTGCACTGCCATGCACTCGAAGATGAACGTCTGCACCTTTAGTGGCAACATGATGCGCAAGCTCGTGTTCTTTCGGAAACCTGCACGCCTTCAGCATGAAACCTCTGCATCTCCGAGGGTCCGACTGGCAGACTGCGCCTGCGTTGCCCAAGCGATCGCCGCACGTGGCTTCACTACCTGAACGGCCCTGAACCGCCTGGAACCTCCCAGATCTTCTGTGCTGCTCAGGCACTGCGCCATCCGCCCAAGCCCGACAAAGGTGAGGGAAACCTTTCGGTCGGGGCAAAACCATCAGTTCCCAACTGCAGTCTTTCGTCTTCAGAAGTGTGGTAGACATGAGAATACATGACAGGTAGCATAAGCGAGGCTGAGCAGCAGCGCCAGCGAGCCACTCACCTCTCGCCGAGCTGTGCGCGACACGTCAGTTTCGTCAGGCAGTCCGGGCTCTGGGTCTCGACCCTGACTGGACTTGGGACCTCTGCAAAAGGGCCGCCCGCACGTGGCTCCAGTACTCCGGTCTCCACCTGAAGATTGAAAGAGCGGTTGTGATGGAGCTGCTGTCGCTCATGCTCCCTCTGCAGTCCCTCTCTGCCGTAGTTGAACAGTCACCACACAGGAATTGCAGCCTGTATTTGCCATCGAGCGCTGCCAAACTGCGCCAAGCCGGGAACCTTCCATTGCTGTAAATTCTGCAGTGTCGGGTTTCCGCATGCACCCGATTAACGAAACATCTTTGGATACCAATCCTTGGGCCAGAGCACCATGTAGCAGGTGTAGAACGCAGCACCCAGCAGAGTACATACTATCGGCACAGGCCGAAGCTTTCGCCAAGGTGGAGCCGAATTGAGGACATCCACCTCCACAGGCCCGAGTGTAAGCTTTCCTGCATCCTTCTGTCAAACTCCGGAAACAAAAAAAGGTCTCACGGAACTGCTCAAAAAAGCAGCTGCAAGCGCATTCTTCAACGCTGGGAAAGCTGCCTGGGTGAGTTTTCCTCGGCGGAGGTTCGCGAAGTCGGGCTCCGCGCTGCCTTTCGGCGCCATGGCCATCGCGGGGCCATTGCCGGCTGGACTGCAAGAGGCTCTCCTACAGCTCTCCTACAGCTTTCGTTGAATTTTATAGCTGGTGTAATTGGGCTCTTGACATTCATTGTAGGAGGCGCTTGCGGGAAGAGAGAGAGATAGAGGATTCATAGAGAGAGAGAGAGAGAGAGAGAGAGAGAGAGAGAGAGAGAGGGAGAGAGCCCACCCTTACACGCGGAGGGTTCTATCCAGATGTGCCTTCTCGGTGCGAGCTGCTCGCGCGCTTAGAGCTGAGCTTGCTCTCGCATGTCTCTGTCGAGCTCTGTCGTAGGGATGCATGGGAACACGAACTTGCCGGGGCCTGTGCCGGCTTCGCAGTCGAACATCGTAATTTCGGAAGTGGTCTAATCAGTCTAAGCTGAATGTAACATCTGTTGGCTTCATGTAGCTTCAAGCCATGATGCTGGCCAACAGCGCACCTCTCTCCTTACCGCAGCTTCGGTCCCTCGCAAGGCCGGGCCTGAAAGTGCCCCACGTACCGCTGGGCCACCCGCCGGGTCTGGAGATCCCACAGCCGGACACTGCGCAGGAATCCGCACAAAAGATCACTGCTCGAGATCTAGGACACGGCAAGCACTGCAGACTCTTTGCAAATCGCCTCGGGCCCTGCTGCAGAGCAGAGACCTGTCGACGCAACGTGGCAACAAGAGTTGTCAAAAAGGTTGAAGGTGCAATCCTAAGACCATCGGAAACGTGCAGGTTGAGTACTTCGAATACAGTGGGCATGCAGCCGACTTGATCGAGGACTGTGGCACCTTCGCTCTTGGTTGCTTCCGGCAGACTCTACAAGAACCCGGCTTGCCTGATGCGCTTCCCGTCACACTTTGCAGACTTTGACCACGAGATGCTACTGTGGAATACTGTGGAATCCCCACCAGAGCATCAGTGGCGCCGCGTGAAGGACTGCTTCTATGGAAGATTGGGGTTCAGGACCTGGGGTCGATGCTGTCTTGAAGACAAGTCGAAATGATTTGATAGACTGATCTGGCCATCGCGAGGAGTTTGGAGCTACTGTAAGTGTCTGGGTGCTGTAGCAAAGGCGAGAGACGAATATCCGAGACGTCGGCATGCTGCGCCACGTTCACGAGGAACTCATCCCGGAGCCGTGAGGCGCTGATCTTGGCGCAGAGGGTTCAGCCCAGGCAGCGCGCAGCCATATTTTAGAGGCCCCAGCTCCCTGCTCTCCGGCTGCTCTCACTCACCCAGGTCCCTTGCGGAAGTGACGGCGTCGCTCTCGGGCAGTGGTGCCAACTCCTTCCCCCCCGAGGCGACGTCGAAGACCTGCATCCCGCCAGTCGGCCCGCATGGTACAGGTGTCCCTGCTTCGATGTTGCGTCGCGCCTTGATGCCTTTGTCAGAGTCCACGACAAGCACTCGCGATCCATTCCTGGTGGTAGCCTCATCTTGGCTTCCGACAGCTTGGAAGACTGCCAGACTCTTCTGGGCCCGCAGCCAGATCCTGCACCCTGCACTGCAGCTCCCAGCGGTGCTGCCTCTTGGCGACCAGAATCTCAGAACTTTGGCCCTGGCCCCAACACACATTTTTCTCTACCCCTATGTGCTGAGAACACCGCAAGTCGCCATCACTCTTCCAGAGCAAGAGACACCTTGCAGCTGTCATGCCGAGATGCGAGGCAAGCACTCTGCGCTGAAGGGGAACCTGTCAAATCCTGCTGACAGGAAGTGCTCGCCATCGGGGAGCCAGGCCACCTCAACTCGTTAGCACTGCGTCCAACGATTCGAATTCCCACCACATGCGACTCGTGTGCCCTTCTAGATTTCGGGCTTCCCCACAGCAGACACAGAGTCTGTATGTCTCGCGAAGATCTCCGGCTCCACGGCGCCTTGCTGCAAAGGGTTGCTCGTACCCAGCCATCGTGCACGGTGCGGCCTGGAAGAGTCCAGAGCCTCACCGTACCTGCCGGAGACTGCGCGACTCGAAGATCAGTCCCTTATATAACTGTTTGCCCCCCCCCCCCCCCCCCCC